GGGGGTTGGAGATTCTGGTAAAGATATCAGGCAGCTGTTTTATACACTGTAATGACATGTTCCCATGATGATCAGGATTAGCAATTGCCAGAGAAAAAATAGTTAAATTTCATTCTGTTATTAAATTAATGGCTTAGCATACCTTGTCTGCTGTGCTATTATTTTTTGGGTCCGATGATTGAGCTGGTTTGTGCTCTATTTCTGTACTAAAGGGATCCCCCTCTTTCATTATTTATTAATTGATTATATGAGATGCTGATGGTCAAGATGGATCAGACTTTAGTGATAATCTGGGAAGGTATGTTGATAGAGCATGTCAGTAACTTTGGCATTGTTTACTCTTCTTCTCAAACTTATAAAAGTCTTCTCTTTTCTTGAGCATATGTGGTGACAGTGCTCATATTGTTAAGGATCCCTGACAAATGTTTAAATATCTTAACCAGGTATCATGTCATCTTTCTCCAAAGCACAAGACACCTTGCGGATATTTTTTGCTGTCTTATTTTGGATGTCACTTTTCTTCTGGTATTCTGTGTGGGATGGGAAGAACGATGGCAGACCGAACAAGGGTTCTCGTTTTAGAAGATAAAATTGTAAGAAGTTTTATGTTGTCCTGTACAATTAACTCCTGATGCTATCGTACGCGATAGTGTAAAGCATGGGGAACAAAAGGGAAAAAGGAAAAAGAGGAGAAATTTAGTGTCGTAAATTGTTTAGAGTTACTGAAAGAATGGAGATTCTTCTGTATACTTCACTTAAAGGTAGTTTAGAGCTCCTTGTTAGCCCAGCTAGCATTAGTTCATTCATGCTGTGATTTTACTCCTTTAGAGCCTTAAGAGTAAAAACTTCTGTACAATTATATGGGATTAGAGTCTATTGCAGTGCTCCTTATATTCTCTCATCTTGGGAAATGCAGTGCTCTTTTCTTCTCTCTCTCTCTCCCCCTCGTGGTGTGTGTTGTGAATCGAAAAAGAAAACCTAAATAATTAGTACGTTGTTGCTATCTAATACCAGAGCTATTGGAATTAACATGTTTTAAAGTAGTTCCCTTGGGGACGTTTTGAAAGTATCAGTTCTACAAATACTCGTGTATCTGAATTTCTGAAGATCACAAGCTTCATTCTCTTTCCTTACCTTCTTAAACTTGATGCTGATCAAGTAAGTAAAGATTAATACCTTCAGCGTATCTGCATGGTATGAGATTGGAAAAACTGTGGTAATGGCTTTCATCCTTGTGAAGGGAAATGTAGATTTGTATCGCGTATCTTTGGGTAGAACATATTGTTTTATTTGTGAAAGAAGAATTTGGAGCAATTGAGATTTAATGAGCTGAAGCAACTAATAGTGTTTTTTCCTTGGTGAATGTGGTGTGTAATTTCTGTTCTCACGGGAGCTATTTTTGCTCTACCTGAACTGTTGATTGAAGATTTGCATATCTTCTTTGTTTATGAGTAACGTGGTTTAGTACTCGTATTCAAATAAGTCTTGCTTAATAAGATCATAAATACCAACAAACAAGAAAAACAACTGGGATGCAAGATGTCCTGGAGTTGCTTTGAAACTTTTCATTACGGCTGGTTAATATCTCTATGCCAGTTATTATAAATGAAATAATAAATAACTCTATGCATCAATAATAGTTGTTCTCTTTTCTGTTGCTTTTCCTTATGTGAGTGAATGGAAATTTAAGAAAAACTTGATGAGCTAAGCAATATATGTGTTTTTAAGTTCAGACGTGCCTAGAGTCCTCGGGATATGGCATAAATAGCTTTGGGGTTGGAACTATGACAGTATTGAAAAACATAGTTTTGTGAGAAAGCAGTAATTGTGATTTATTTCAAGGCCATCTACCAAGTGATAGACGGTTCATTTGTGTTCCTTCTACTACTGTATTAGATTGTAGGTTTGCTCGTGAAAGAGCATAATTTGCCTACTTTCATCTTGAGCATATTCATTTGAACTCTCGCTATGGGGGTATGAATGGAACTGGAAACTCGCAATGCTGGAAGTTGCTTAAAACTTCTATCTATACATCAAAAGCAGGACCATCTTCCTCTGGTACCAGAAAAGAGGAGATTGGTATATATATCCTTGCAGTTAAAGACAGGGCAGCTGGTCCCCCTTTATCTGGCATTCCATTGCATTATTGTTGACTGGCTAGCAAACATAGGAACGAACCGACTAGAAGTCTGGTAATAATGTGGTTCTTAACACTTTTTATTGTCTCTATTATAACGTGTTTGGTTAATGGTTATGTTGAATCATTGTCAACAAGGACCTCTTTTAACTTCACTTTAGTATCGGTGTTATTCGTGCATTAGATGTGCCATCAAACCCCAAAATAGTCCTCAGTTATATTCAGATGGAATCTTTGGTAGAATAATTGAGGGATCTTGAGTCTTTGAAATGTTCAACCTGTGTAAAATTCCATGGATTTGAAGTGTTTTGACGTCGGTATGTGGAAACTTAAAGAAGGAAATGAGGAGAAACTGTTTGTTCAAGTCGTTTTCAACATGCAAAAATAATCTGTGTCAATTTGCAATTATGTGACAGCTGCTAGGAAGATTCAATCATTTGAGAAAGGTCCTTTTGATTTGGTGTTATTTAACAGTATGAACATTTCTCATTAGTAACTGGTAACCCAACCTACACAGATGTGTGTTTCTTCATGTTACAAAATTATTTAGAATTTAGAAACTTAAATTGCAATGGAATAGTTACAATTTCTTGTACCAAAAAAAAAAGGTTACTACAACTAGTTAGTCCCGAGTGTGTATAATATAAAGATGGAGCAATTGCATATGCTATTCAATTATCGACCTTTCTGGGCCGTAGATTCTCAATAGTGAACACCATTTTTGAAAGTCCTTTTTTGTGGAAGTGTTGGAAAATAATGCAGTATCGCAACTACTTTTTAACGTGAGGATACTAATGGCAAAAATATGTCAAGTTTAAACGCGGAAAACTATAGGGAAATGTTATTTGAGTTTTTGAACATTTATTACCTTGAATTCCATGAACCTGGAGTTTCAACTTTGAATTGATAAAAGTTTGGTTTAGAACTCCCAACTAACTTTCACAATTTAATTGTGAAGTTTGAATTCCATGTATTGATCTTTGAAATTTGACTAAATTTTTTTTTTGAACAATATGAATCATTCATGAAGCTTAAGGACAACAAATTTGAATGCCATGAAATTTGAAATTATACAAATTTTTCCCCTTCAAGTGTGAAAGATTAAACTCCATTAATTATTTCTGAAATTTAATTTGATAAAAGTCTGAACTGAACCCATAAATAGAATTTAAACTCTATCAAAGTTTTATGAAGTTGTTAGTGTTTAAGTTAGGGAGAGTTTTCTTATTCATATAGTATTATTTTTTCCTTAAGAAGTTTATATATCACGATTACATTTTAAACCGGTCCCAAAATTGACCATTCGGACTAATTTTTACATAATCAAGTGATCTTGAGAGTGAAAACGAATGCTAATTTTTACATAGTCAACTGTCAAGTGATCGTGGGAGTGAAAATAATTGACCAATATCTTTGGACTATCTGATTATGTGTATAACATATAGGACCCGTTTGGTAGGCGGTATTAGATAAAATAATCCATGGCTTAAAATTTAATCCATCTAATACATTATTTGGTTACTTTATTTAATTTAATCCATGGATTGCTTATCCACCATATGTGGTCTTATCTTATCCCTAGAAAATGGAGGGATAACTAATCCAAGGTTTAACAAACCTTGGATAAGATCCCTAAATGACTAAACTATCCCCTTATTCCTTTTCCTAAATTTCTTTTGTAATTTAATTTCCTTTTTATTTATATTGAAATGGTTATAAATGTTCTTTTTTAATTCTCCAAATTCGTTTTGTGTAATTTAATGATTTCACTAAAAAAAATTCTCCATTTTTCTTGATTTTTTTATTCAAGATAGTTTGTCGATTAACCACTTGAATTATTTATTTTTATTTTTATTTTAAAAAAAACAAGCTTTAGGTATTGAACAATTTAAGTAGTCTTAAATCTATGTTAAGTTTAAGATATACTTGACCAACAAAAAATTAGAAATACACCGTGCCATTAATGATCTCCTTAAAAGTGGTACATCACACCTTAAAATTAATAACAATTTATATATATATTTGACTTAACTTGTTAAATGGAATAGAAAATCCTACAAAAAAATAATATTGTTCGGCGGTTATCTACTTTGACCCAATTACATGAAATTAACAATCTCATAATAACATAAGGGTATAATAGGAAAGCAATTTTTTGTAAAGTTTTAAATCAAACACAAGATTAAGTGGAAAGTAATGAACCAAACACTTGACAAAAAATAATT